GGGGGGGGGGGGGGGGGTAATTGTTTGGACGATTTACTTCAATAACGGACAGTTAAATAAATATTCTGACACATTTCAGAAATCTGTTGTTAAAAAAAATATACTGCATACCAATTAGGCATTCACCTTTTAAAAAAAAGATTCTTAATTAAAATGACATTTTTTGTAAACTATACCCATAAATATGAGAGGTTTCGCACGGCCCACAGATCTCCATGTCTGTATTGTAGTAGACATGCCCACGCGCCGCAGCAACGTCTAAGCGGCCACCGCGGCCTCTGGCTCCGCCCCATTATTTTCTCGAGGTCGGGGGTGGTGCTGACGGTCCTCCTTCCTCGTCTTCAGCTTGGGTGTTCGCTGCTTTGTGGAACGGGGTGTCCTTATAAATGAACCAGCAGTTGCTCCCCCAGAGGATGAGGTTAAGAAATCCAAAAATCTATAATAGGAATTGGAGTGTAACATCAGTATCAGGACATGGAGCAGCAGTACGCTGTCATCACAGGCCTCTAACACTGTACATTCATCCATTTTTTTAAAGCAGTCATGGGAGGCTGGTGGGAGGGGGGGGGTACCAATGCATCGCAGGGCTTCTAATACTACTATCCCGATAATACCGAACTAAAACTTGTTTTAGTGACAGTTTTCCTCTTTTTCGGATTGTTGAGGAGGCTCCTGTTTGGGAGCGTTCGGGGGGCACTGCCTGCCGTCACGGTCTTACCACAGAGACATTGAGGCGGCTCGTGGAAGGCAGGGCGCCCGGAGTGCAGCCGTTGCCTAAGATCTTGCAGGTACTGATGACCCGCACCAGGAAGGAGGGGCTAGTGGACATCTTGATGTCAGAAAGGGCTTTGGCCCAGGCGGAGGAGGACACCAGCCACATGAAGGCGAAGGTCCCGGTCACCAGCAGGTCCTACAGAGGGAGCGGGAGGCAAAACTGATACTTCCTGCTACTGTATGAACAAGTGAATGGATCATAAGGGTTTATTATCGGCTGTGTCATACAGCCGACATCAGGAAGCAGACGGGGAGGAGCTGATGGGCAGTTCAGCGGTTTAGGGCTGTGCTCGTGTCCAGGAGGTTGTGAGTTCATGCCCTGCGGCCCACAGTAACCATGGGCCCCAGAGCAAGTCCCTCAACTTCCTCTGCTCCAGGGGTGTCGGACAAAATCATTTGCTAAATCAACGTAAGTGGACACTCACGAGAATAGGAGCACGGCTGTTCCCACGGTAGATGTGCCGGTAGCCCAAGTAGACCACCAGCGTGACTATGCAGTAGAGGAACGCGAGCACCCCAACGCACACGAAGAACTCCACAGAAGGGGAGAAGTCTCCCACAAGGAAGGTGTTCACGAATCCTGAGGAACTTCCATTACAGGTGGGGACGTGGAAGGGGTAACTGGGCAGCCTACAGCAGATGAGAGGGCAGGTGGAACATACAGGAGCGTGCCAGGAGCTCCACCATCTCCATTAAAACAACCAGCTGGAACACGCACAACGCATGATGACCACACAGACACTATTTCAATCAAACTGCCATCTCTGACAAGGTTTAGTGATGTCTTCTGGTGTTCTAATGTCTTCTGGTTTCTACTAGTGATGTCCTGATCCACTTTTTGGTACCCCAATTTAATCTATTCAGTATTTATATCTGCTGATTCAGTGTCTCAATCCAGTCTTTTCATAAATATTTACATATATACACACACACACACACACACACACACACACACACACACACACACAACAGGCCACAGTACATTCAGTAAGCAAGTCTGTGCAACTGACAAACTGGGTGGTTGCAGGAAATCAGACTGGGATTTGGATATTAAAATTTAAAAATACCTGGATCAACCCTGTGTCTAAAGAAAAGGGTTGTTCTCTTACCAAACTCACCTGAATGGATAATAAAAGTGCGCCGTAATCTCCTGAAGTTGGCTATCAGCACATTGGATGTTGATACTGGTCGAACCAGAATAACCTCCCACGGTGGCAAAGGCGAAAACACTGAACACCTACAGAAAGAGCATTGAAGTTGTGAATACAAAGAGACCCATGTTTCACTCCCCCTCATGGAATCAAGGCACCAACAATTACAGTTTACAATATTCTATATAGCATATAACACTTCAAATTAATTGAAAAATCTAAATAAATAAAAGTACTAGATAATGGTGAAATAGAATCATTCAAATTGCTAAATTTGGTTTCCTGCGAGTAAAAATGTTTCATGTTTTAGCTCAGCTTACTGATGGCTTGAATGCAGCAGACTTCTGCAGTCCTTGAAATGTGACAGTTGCTTGTGCATGCAATGCCATGCGGATATTAACGTCGCACATCGTGCAAGTCGAGAGCAGCACAGTGGTGCAGTGGGTAGCGGTGTCACTGCACACTGCCACTTTCTGTGTGAAGTTCGCATGGTCAACCAATGTGTGGGTGATTTTCAGTGGATCCTAGGTTTCCATCCACTGTCCAAAAACATGCAACTTAAATGAATTGGAATACATAAATTGTGTGACTGAGTGAGTACCAATGTATGTCATATTATAAACAATTACCCGTTACCCTATATTACAGTAATGGGTCAATGACATGGTACTATATTTTTGTCCACATGGCTATTTTTTTTTTTTAACCAAGTGTTAAAATTTGAAAAAAAAAACAAATTACTTGCATATAATTTGAGGACCTAGTCTGAAATTCCAGTTTAAACAATTCTGAGAATATATTTGGGGGATGTTGGCAATATATCAATGCGGCGTAACCATTAAAATTTTGTACCAAATAATTAAGCTTGCTTAAAAAAGGTGAAATTCTCAATAAAACACCATGTCAAATAGTTTGGCATAATCTTACATTAGAACAGTTTAATGCAAAATACAAGTAATGGAAAACCATCATTCTGAATATTATAATTAATCTGGAGGTTTACGTTAGTTAGGCCAACTTCCTTCAGTGTCAAGGTGGTGTAACCTCCATTGAAGGTTCCATTTTGACAGGAAATAACATCACAGCTAGCCAAGAAGAAAAAAAATGTCCGGTTGGGATAGGAGTCATCCAGTTTCTTTGGACTGAATCTTCTACCCAAATGGAAATCATGCATCTGGTTTCACTTGCACTCCAATCACATACATCAGGGCTCTAGAGATGTGGTCAAATGCGTCCCAGATCGACAAGTGGTTTGGAGTGATCGGATCGCAATACATCTTGGTGGCTGTTTGTATTTCGTGCCGTCCACTTGATTCAATTGCCCAAGATGCATTTTAAAACAAAGTATGACAGGGCATCAGGCAGAAGCACAGACAGACATGATTTTACCCTTATTCATTGCTAGATATTTTTCTTAATCATAAAAGAATACATGAATTCATTAAACAATTCTTTTTGTTAGATGTTTTATTTTACTTAAACGTATTAAAACAAGTCAACCTTGTTGACCATCATGCTTGATTTTCAGTGTCAGTTTCTTCAACAAGCAATGACCTCTGGCTGTAGAAGCAAGATGGTCAGCAGGTGTAACTGGTTTGTGTCAATTGGTTTTACCAGCATTTTTCATAAAAATGCACTCTGACAAAAATAAAAAAATAAAAAATGTAAGCACACAGCAGTAATGGTCTGATTTGGATGTAATTTGGAACACGTGCAGACCAGCGATGGATATGTATATTATTTGAATTCCAAGTAGCTGGCACATCTAGTCACCAGACACAAAGGATAGCTCTTAGATGCATTAGCCAGCATTACCAGCACTTCAGAGTTTGATAGGGGTCACATTGTGGGTCTGCATGAGGCTGGCTGGTCGCATTGTGCCTGGCCTGTGGGGCATCCAGATATCACAGTTGCCCAATGTTGGAACCAATGGGCCCATCAAGGTACCCAGACATGTTGTGAAGGTTCCGCTTGCCCAAGACAAGACCACACCAAGGGAGGATTGTTGTATTGTGCCACAATCATTACAGAACCCCATGACATCTGTGCCTGCCATCCGGACACAGGTATTGGACTCCCTACAACCCCCCTCATGTCACCACCCCCCACTGTGTCTCAATGACTAGCATCAGCTGGACTATGGGTTCACTGTCCCGGGTGAAGGCTGCCATTGACGTCAGCACAGACTGCTGCGTTTGGAGTGGTGCCGTAACCAGGAGGCATGGACTGATGACGAGTGGCATCGTACCATGTTCAGTGATGAACCTCAGTTCTGCATTACCACAGATGACCAGTGTGTGTGCGTATGGTGGCACCGAGGGGACAGGACCAATCCTGCCAATGCTGTGGAGTGTTACTCCTGGCATTATGGTGTGGGGAGACATAGGGAATGACTTCAGGTCATTTCTGATTGCGATTCGCCAAGCAAATTTTATCTTGTGGAACCACCCGGCTAGCGCACCAGATGTCCACCACATGGAGAAGCAGTGGTTCTACTCTGAGACTCTCCCGGATATCCGAACTTCTTACCTTATCTGTAAGGGAGAGCCCAGACACCCTGCAGAGAAACCTCATTCTGGCCGCCTGCATTCACAATCTCATTCTTTCGGTCATTACCCATAGCTCATGACCATAGGTGAGGGTAGGGATGAAGATGGACCGATAGGTCGAGAGCTTTGCTTTCTGGCTCAGTTCTTTCTTAGCCACGACGAACTGGTTAAGCGCCTGCAAAACTCCAATTTGTCTATCCAGCTCCCCATCTCGCCTACCCTCACTTGTGAACGAGACCCCGAGATACTTGAACTGCTCCACTTGAGGCAGTACCTCCTCCCTGACCTGAAGAGGGCAATCCACCAATTTCCAGCTTAGAGCCATGGTCTCAGATTTGGAGGTGCTAATCCTCATCCCCGCCGCTTTGCACTCATCTGCAAACCGTCCCAAAACACGTTGGAGATCCCGAGCAGATGAAGCCAACAGGACGACATTGTCTGCAAAAAGCAGCGAGGCAATCCTGAGGCCACCAAACTGGACACCCTCAACACCCTGGCTGCGCCTAGAAATCCTGTCCATAAATAATATAAACAGGACCGATGATAAAGGGCAGCCCTGGCGGAGCCCAACCCGCACTGGGAGCACGTCCGACGTATGCAGTTGGAATTTTGCTGGAGGTGCAAGTTAAAGCTACAGCGAACAGGAGCCTCTGCCAGACGTTCCCAGCAGACCCTCACTATGCGCTTGGGCCTACCAGGTCTGACCGGCTTCCTCCCCTGCCACCAGAGTCAACTCACCACCAGGTGGTGATCAGTTGACAGCTCTGCCCCTCTCTTCACCCGACTGTCCAAGACAGAAGGCCGCAGATCAGATGATACGATTATGAAATCGATCAACCTGTAGCCCCGGGCATGTTCGTACCATGTCCACTTATGGACACCCTTATGTTTGTTATGTACAAACCATGCATTGCACAGAAGTCCAATAACAGAACACCACTCAGGTTCAGCTCAAAGAGGCCGTTCCTCCCAATCACCTGCCACAACTCCTGAAGAAAAGAGCATACAGCCCCTCTCCAGGAGATTGGTTTCAGAACCCACGCTATGCATTGAGGTGAGCCCGACTATATCTAGTCGGTATCTCTCAACCTCACGCACAAGCTCAGGCTCCTTCCCCACCAGAGAGGTGACATTCCATGTCCCGAAAGCCAGTTTTGTCAGCCGGGGATCGGACCGCCAGGGCCTCCCTTGGCCGCCACCCGATCCTAGTGGCCTATTTAGAAACCAGAGGGAGGGAAGACGAACACACACACAATTCAAAAGTGCATTGTATTCTTATATATTAAAATGTACAATTCTGTTTGAAAGGGAAAGCTCTTCCTCTTTAAACAGTTGCATGAAGCACTCCTGTTCACCGTTTCATATTTACACATCCATCAGCCCAGAAACTGCTTTGTTATTAAAAGGATTATTTTCAAAATTTCACTGAATTAATATTCTAACAGACACTGTAGTAGAAGAAACTCTTTACTGAAGCAAATTTATGTAACACTTAACAGGGAAAGACCCAAAACAAAACATTAAGTTTTGTGTGCAGTTTAGTTTTTGATAGCGACTACTGTGATTCAAATACCTAGTCCTATTAAATGGTCTATATTAGTAATCCATCATTAACATATCCATTGATTAGCACACTTAAGAGTGAGAATTCTAGCACAAAGCTACATTTCATATCACGCAATTGCAAAAATAGTATGGCAAATCAAATTATTGAGAAGTGCTACAATTCAACATTTAAAAAAGCCAATGTGACAGACTTCACACACACACGCACACGTCTCCAGTTGCTGGTATTTGGCAGCCTGACATTGCTCTCCTCACACCCACACCACACCCCCCAGCATTCTTGCGATCTCCAAATAAACCATCCACCATATTGAGCTACAAGCCCTGCTGCACAGCTAATGAGGGTCACCTTTCCACAGACATATGGCACAGACAGCATCCAGAATCACACGGGTTAAGAACAATTGAGTAGAGGGGACTATGATGAAGGGCAGAAGCCAGGGAAGGAGTGTTAAGTAATTCAAAAACACTGACAGAGACGGTATCAGTCACATCCCGTATGTCTCTTAGCTCTGAAAACCACCTGGGCCCCTGAACGCAGGCAGACGGCCTCAAACTACACGAGCCACCATCAAAGCAGAAGGCGATGGGATGGAGGCTGTGCTACAATTTAGCTGAATGGAGATATATGGTAGTCAGGCCTGCATATCAACGTATAGAACAGATTTTTTCCACAACAGGAACTAGTGAAAAAGTCATGTGCAATTTTTGGAAGAATTCAAATGTAGCAGTATTCAAATGCTGCATTCAACTTTAGTTAGTTCTGAGGTTATTAGTAATGTTCTGCATATTGAGTAAAAGCTGCAATGATATTATTGCAAGCATAGGAGGGGTCATGTAATGTAAGCCCAAACTCAGTGACATATAGAACATGCTGCTTGCGTATGTGGCGCATCCTACTGCATTTGCAATCCGTCACAAACCTGCCTATTTTGGATAAAGTGGATACAAAATGGAACCGCGGGGTCGTAGTTAATCAGGGACCTGCAGCGTGCACTTTAGGAGGCTGAACTCCAGCGGTTTTTGGTTAAGTTCCGCAAGATGCCCTGCGGCTGCGGGCAAACTTATCGGACGAAAAGATCTTTACACATGACAGTTAACGGCGATTAACAAAATTTAGATTCGAGTATACGTTAAACTTTCATCTGCTTGTACTGCTTCAGTTCCAGTCAGCAGACGGGTATAGGCGCACCAGATGAGAACCATTTAACAACAACAACAAAAATCCAGTCAGTAACACTAATACATATTTATACACAAAAATATCAAAAAGTTACATTACACTGCTTTTGCATGGGAATTATAAAATGATTAAACCGAAAAAGTAAATCACGTCGACGTCGCCCCTATACCGCCATAAGCCACCAAGTCCGGGCCGTATGACTTAACTCTAAAAGGGTTATTGTAAAAAAGTCTTCATTGGGCACGTTATCAGAAGAGTACATATTTGTACGCAGTTTCAGTAGCTATGCACTCAGATTCCTACCACGGAAACGTAACCATTTGTTAGGAGTATTTTTATTAGGCTATTTACGGATGGCGGAGCGGAATAACTGCTCCGATTAGACTCCCCGGAAACACTTCTGAAACACTAAAAGCGTTACTGTCACTTCACCACTGCAGGACTGCGCACGAAAAAGCGGCACACAGCGCTCCAAAATGAACTACGTAAAACTCTACAAGGTCAGATCACACGAAACTACCGCTTAACTTACCCACTCCAGCACCCGCAGGAACCCCAGCGGCTCTTTCAGCAGACCCAGGTCTGGTTTGAAGTCTGATACCACTTTCTAAAGAAAGCAGAAACAGAAAACACGAGTCGACTGTCATGCAAAAAGTAAACTAACCGCACAGCAGGAAACTCGGGGGCATGCGGGAGAGGACGATCGGGTCCTGAACCAGCTCGTCAAAGGCACGAAACATCTTTTATACATGTCAGCTTAATTGGAGAGCAGTGCTCTACCTGAACGCGTCCCTCCATTGCTGGCCTCAAACAACTTTTAAAGACTACAAACTAAGACGATTTTGTATAAACCAAGTAGAAATCAAGGAGCTGACAGACGGATTAACATGCACGACTAGAATAAAATGTTTCATTGCAAACTTGTTTGAACTTTTTGAGCCGGAGAGTGCGACGCATGTGACTCAAAGCGCCCTGCTCTTAAAGAGACAGGCGGCCAATTCACAGCGCGGTGCAGATAAGGTTCGAGAGCTGCGAAATCAAGTCAACCGCCTACTAATTAGACGCCTGTTTAATTAAGGGTGGGGTGGGGTGAATGGATCCAAACTGGAGGTTTCACGCCCCTTATCATCAAGCATTAACATTCCCTGGTATGTCTTTTACATGGCTGGTCAAAATGACTTCTGATAGGCTCCCATACGGCTGACAGAAGGTTTATCCATTTATTGGAAGTATGGTGATACAGATTCAGTAAGAATGCCAGGAAACCCCTCTACAGGATGCATGAAACATGTCAAAGAAGGGAAATAACCTCGAAAACTGCAGGAGCAGCATGATGCTACGGTCCCAGTTAGGCATTTTGAAGATCAGCAGCATGGCGCTACGGTCTCAGTACGGCATTTTGAAGACAAGCAGCATGGCGCCACGGTCCCAGTAGAGCATTTTGAAGATCAACAGCATGGCGCCACGGTCCCAGTAGAGCATTTTGAAGACGAGCAGCATGACGCCATGGTCCCAGTAGAGCATTTTGAAGATCAGCAGCATGGTGCTACGATCCCAGTAGTGCATTTTGAAGATGAGCAGCATGGCGCTACGGTCCCAGTAGAGCATTTTGAAGATCAGCAGCATGGCGCTACGGTCCCAGTAGAGCATTTTCAAGAGCAGCAGCATGGCGCTACGGTCCCAGTAGAGCATTTTGAAGATCAGCAGCATGGCGCTACGGTCCCAGTAGAGCATTTTGAAGACGAGCAGCGTGGCGCTACGGTCACAGTAGAGCATTTTGAAGATCAGCAGCATGGCGCCAAGGTCCCAGTAGAGCATTTTGAAGATCAGCAGCATAGCGCTACGGTCCCAGTAGAGCATTTTGAAGATCAGCAGCATGGCGCCAAGGTCCCAGTAGAGCATTTTGAAGATCAGCAGCATAGCGCTACGGTCCCAGTAGAGCATTTTGAAGATCAGCAGCATGGCGCTACGATCCCAGTAGGGCATTTTGAAGATGAGCAGCATGGTGCTACGGTCCCAGTAGGGCATTTTGAAGATCAGCAGCATGGCGCTACGGTCCAGTAGGGCATTTTGAAGATCAGCAGCATGGCGCTACGGTCCCAGTAGAGCATTTTGAAGACGAGCAGCATGGCGCTACGGTCCCAGTAGAGCATTTTGAAGATCAGCAGCGTGGCGCTACGGTCCCAGTAGAGCATTTTGAAGATCAGCAGCGTGGCGCTACGGTCCCAGTAGAGCATTTTGAAGAGCAGCAGCGTGGCGCTACGGTCCCAGTAGAGCATTTTGAATAGCAGCAGCGTGGCGCTACGGTCCCGGTAGAGCATTTTGAAGATCAGCAGCGTGGCGCTACGGTTCCGGTAGAGCATTTTGAAGATCAGCAGCGTGGTGCTACGGTCCCAGTAGGGCATTTTGTAGACTGCCCACGAACATAAGCAGAGAGAGGCAGTTTATGCTGTGCACACACTCACCACGACAAATATACAGTAGCAATATGAGAATAGTATGCGGGACAATCTTTCTTACTTATTCTTTTCTTGTCTTTAAAAGATTACACCATCAGTCCAGTTTTGCTCACTGCAGGAATATCAGATGGATAATTTCTAAAAAACACAGAAAAAATAGCTTTGATACTTTGTGTAGTCTAATCTGATCTACCAAAATAAATACAATATAGTGAAGTAAAGTAAATCAAAACAGTATGTATCTTGCAGTGCTGAAATATAATTAAAATTTGCTGTTATTTTACTTTGTTCTTCTACATTGCTGTTTTACTTACCCCAAACGGTAACTTTTGCTTTTTATGATCCAGTGTAATAACAAGTGAACCTATGAAACACCATTAAATATGTCACTGTCTTTGGTGATATGAAATGGAGACCATGTTGTCAGTGGTGATTCCCTGCTTTGTGAATGATTTCACTTGATGCCTTTCACTAGCATGCGGTGGTCGGGCGGGTGGTGGCAGGAGGGAGAGGAAACTGGAAGAGTATAATATTCAATCCATCCATCACTGATCTCCTATCAGGTCCTGGGGTTTATAATGTTCCATTTGCAGTACTAAAATATTTCCTTGAAAGCTTATTGATTTTCAATACACTGCACAGTATAGAGAGAATAGATTAAAGAACAGTTGTGTAAAAAGGGAGAAGATTACAGTAATACCTATCACTATTATCCCCAATAACAATTTTTAATTCTAGGAATTTTTACCGAATGACACATTTAAGCTATAGAAATGTTCAAACCATCCAGTTTTCCTGTTGTTCCCAGAACGTTCTCCCACTACAACTACTAAGATTAATAATGAAGCAGTTCTTGAACCAGCATGTAAATAACCATGATGCCTCATCAGTAAGGCCAGGATCAAGGAAGAAATCAGCAAAAATCATCAGTTTGACATCACAGAAATGAGTGTGATTACTGTATCGTTAGACAGAATCAGGAGTCCAGGGCTTGATACAGTGAATGTTCTCCATTTATTAAAGATCCAGTAATGCTTTTGTTTTAGTACATAGAGACAGGTGTGGATAAAGTCAATGGACTATTAGAGCAGTTGATCACAATAACCTTTACGATGCTTTAAGGAAAAAGTATTCTTAAACAAATTAAATGAAAATACTACGCATTCTTTGGTCAACAGATAGTCACATTAAACTTTATTACAATGAAGTTAGTACCAAAATTTCAAAGCAGTTATTTGATTCATACTTGTATTAAGAATATAAATCAATTCTTTATATGTATATAAATAAGTCATTAACATTTGGTATTTTGAGGTAAAATGCTAGTTAGTTGAAAGCCATGAAGCGTAACAGAACATAAATGCCTGCCAGTCTTATGTCACACTGCATTTCCATCTACTATCATTTTCCCACGTCATTTTATCTCCTTAGTCCAGGCATTCGGGCCTATTGCTCTTGTCCACTTGAATGCATCTATGGCCTGCTGTAGGGGTCCAGTCGACTCTCACTGGCCAGCTGCAGATATGCAGGAAAAAGCGAAAAAGATAAAGCAGAAATCTATCAATATTCTGCCAGCTGTTTATTTCAGTTAACAGGACACACGGATCTTTCTGTTGGAAGTCTGTCATCTTATGCTAAACCGATATGTTAAAATGCCCCTTTCCACTTTGAAATTCATGGTGATCCACAAATTCGTGCTGCTGTGAAAATGTAGGCAGATGTCAGAACAGCCTCCCAGAATTAATGGAAGCTTTGTTTGCTGGTCTAAAGACTCAAGATCCACCAAGCGTCTTCACTAAATGTCAAAAGGCTCCTTTGCACCTGTATATAGTGCATGCATTTCGCATGCCTGGGATATATGTTCATATCAGGCATGAGTGAAGTATATGTAAATAATTTTCATGCTGTTTCACGTGTCATTGTGCATCAATACATGGGTGCATATGCGCGAGAAAGCCATGTATGTATCACATACACGTGTCTGTGAGGCAAACTCATGTTGTATATGATGTGTGGGGCATGTTTGCATGCACCCTGCTCCGGCTACGCAGGCCGCAGCCTCGCTGTACTCACAGCCAAAGCTGACTTCACTCCCTGAAGGTGGAAGAAGACCCTGCCACCCTCCTCAGGGCAAACGCTCTTCAGCTCGTCACGTGTCAGAGACAGGACCTGGGCACCCCCAAGCACCCCCAGGCTGCGAACCGTGCTGCGGGGGTGGGAAGGACAGCGAGGAAGGACGGACAGACACATGATGGATGATGCTCATTTAATACAGCCATTTGTTAATTTGTGCTGTATTTTGTCTTTTGTCTGTTTTTACTAAGGTTATTTTGTGAATAGTCAAACACAGTAACCCCTTCACATTCGTGGATTTGCTTATTCACAAATTGACCGTGAACAATAAAACAGGAATATTTTAGGAGCTTGCGGAGAGATCGCAGAAACTCGCAGATGGCGTGTAAGCCAAAAACAATACTGAAATGGATTTGGATTACATAAAATAATATATAAATATTAGTAAAGCATAATATTTGCTAGTGTAAGTACATACTGTATTTTTAACATACTGTATTTTTAATATTAAAAGTCTTGGCTTAAGTACCACTCATCTTGACTCTTGCTTTACTCGCATCACTCTCAGTAACTTGCACAAAATTAAGTGCTGTTAATTTTGCACTTTTAATAATGAGTCCAAAATGAAATGCACCCATAATGTACATGAGTAACTCCGTACAAACAGGGGCATTATATGGATGGTTTGTATATTTTATTAAAAGGTCTTGATAGGAAATGACAAAGTGATTTTACATGCAAAGTGTACAGTACAGTACTGTTTGTTTAGAAATTGGTAATCCAACAGATTTTGGAGCCTTTTTGCAAGGAAGAGCGAATATTGCCAAGTCAAGATGTGGCTTGCTGACAGACTCCTACCCAAAAAGACTGAATGCTGTAATTAAATCAAAAGATGCTTCAATAAGGTATTAGTTTAAGGGGGTGCGCACTTACAGTATACAACCAGCTTATTGTATGTTTTTTATTTTTTATTTTTTTCCCCCTAACAGATTTGTTTGTTTTTCAATTGAATTGTACTGGTTATAGGTCACATTTAAGGTGGGAAAAGTTTTGAAATGATTCATTAGTGGTTTGGTCTCATTTATTTACATCAGAAACACCTGGCATTTTAACAGAGGCGTGGACACATTTTATATCCACTGTAATTATTTTAGTTTTATACCCACATGGCCATTGCAGCTACTGTGGTAAGGGAGTGAAAGCTAATGCTGTAGTGGGTGTCTTACATTTTGGAGAAGCCCTTGAACTCCAGCCAGGCCCTGACATCCTCGGGCTGCGACATCATGTTAAGGGGCGGAGCTGAGCGCAGGCCCTGCAGGATCACAGCGGTCACACACAGTCATCGCCCCCTTTGCTCACCCCCCCCCCCCCCGGTCAGCCCATATGGACACCAGCCATCCACGCTGCCCTGCACACCTCAACCTTAAACATAGCTGGATAATTGCCCTG